CTCATTTTAGAGACAAAAAAAAATAACAAGAGGAGATAGAATTTGCTTAAGAACATACAGTTTATTATATGGAACTGACTCTTAAATTTAGTTGTTTTCACTCATTTATAATGCTAACCCACTGTGTGCTCCTACTATTAAAATAAATACTATTGAGATGCGTTAAGGTAACTCTACCCCAAGAAAACTATAAACATTCATTGGGATCCAGGAAGGAGAATGATTAATTAGCATATTTTTATTTTGGAAATCATGTGGAAAGGGTTAAGATTCATGGTTATTACAGGGAAGGAGCTAAGAATTTGTTTAAAAAATTGAAATGTACACGAGTGAAGGGACAGGTGTTAGAACATTGTATAACTGAAACCCAGTCATGGACAATTTTGTAACTCTCACAGCGATTTAATAACAAAATTTTTTTAAAATGTAGTCCTAGAAGCCAGAAAGATAGTACAGCAGGTAGGGCATTTGTCTTGCATGCTCCCAACCCAGGTTTGATTCTGGACCTCCCATATGGTCCCCCAAGCCACACCAGGAGTGATCCCTAAGCATCACCGTGTGTGGCCCCTAAACACAAGAACAACAACAACAAAAAAAATCTAAAGTCCTAAAAGTGTAATGGTCAAGGGATCTGGAGAAGAGTCATATGGACCGACTTTTGCAAATTACCATTGAATCAAATAGAGGAGGTTTGAAGAGAAGTCTCAAATAGCCAGAAATCAAATGGAAGTATTTTCTACTTAATGCTTATAAGTTGTTCATATTCAGCTCCCCTTGATATATCATTAAGAACCAGTTGGTTAAGAATTGAGAACTTGGTCTGGAGAAGATAGTTCATGAGGTAAGGCTTTTTGTTGTCGTTTTTGTCTTTGCAGACACAGTAACAACAAAGTCTCCAATGGAGACGTTACTGGGCCCGCTCGAGCAAATCGACGCTCAACGGGAGGGCCTTTACCTTTACCTTGTCTTTGCATACTGGCCGTGACCCCTATGGACCGCATGCATCCTAGGACCACATAAGGTCCTTGAACACAGAACTAGGCATAAACCCTGAGTATCAGTTGATGTGACCAAAAAACAAAAACAAACAAAAATAAAATGGAGATCTTATATTTGGTGACTAGAATATCCTTATTGGACACTTTAGAATTGTGATCGCTGCTTTGGTTGGCTCTTGAGAATAATAAAATGATTTATGAATTGGTGTGGTAATACTGTATTTGCTGCAAAGAAAACATTTGCAGTCTTAAGAACCAATGTTGCTTCAATAAGAAATAGGAAAATAAGAATTACAAATAAAATTAAATGGTGTAGGAATATTATGTGTAGTGTGAAGTTATATTAGTAAATGTCTCAACATAATTTCATATTTATATTGTCTAGCCTTACTATTTTTTATCTCTTACTCATGTAACTAGGGATGATTTTTATGTTCTTTCAGTTTGCTTTTAAATGGATGGAAAATGAGTATGGAATAGTTCTCTTCATTCTAGTTATATTAGACCTATATACATATTAGGTAAAGGCCTAAAGGTAAAGGCCCTCCCGTTGTTCGTCGATTTGCTCAAGCGGGCCCAGTAACGTCTCCATTGGAGATTTTGTTTTTACTGTGTTTGGCATATCGAATACAACATATTCGATGAATATGGCTTATTAGATTTAACTTAATTGTTTCAAAGCACACTGTAGTATAATAAAGTATTTGTATGTTTAAGTTGGCCTGGTTTTAACCAGTAATAGCCATTGTCTATAGATTTCTCTTCCTATTGCAGAAATATTTTACACGAATAATCTTGATAAATTGTAAACTCATAATCATAGAAAACTTGCCTTTTAAAATAGTTTTTATATTAGTCATTCAGTCTGAATTTTCTTTTTTTTTTATTTTATTTTTTTATTTATTTATTGAATCACTGTGGGAAAGGTTACAAAGCTTTCAGGTTTATGTCTCAGTCATGCAAATATCAAACACATTTCCCTTTACCAATACTTATTTTTTACCATGAAGAACCCCAATAAAACCCCACCCCCCACCCCTCCCAGTCCCTGTGAGGCAGATGAATTCTAGTTAACACTCTATCTGCTTTGATTAGATTCATTGTTTCAATAAAAGATTCACCACTATTATTTAGAGTTTACCCCCCCCCCCAACTCAGACATGCTGAAAAAGCATTGTGAAGTGATTTGCTTTCTACAGCTGGGTTCAAGAATTAAATGTTGGTTTTGGATTTCTGCTCTTTTACCTATTGACCCTGGAAGTATTTCTACTGAAAGTCAGATAGTTAAGAAATTGGTTTCTGTGTTCTGGAGTCGTGGCCATGCTGGAGAGCTGCTCGCGGGGGGCAACTGGTGGCCTCGGTAGGGCGTGAAGGGCGGAGCGAAACGCCCCCTTTCCCATGAGGTTTTAGTCGCCCCCACACTCCCGGCTCATACCTGCTGTCCACAAGGCTCCCATGTGGCCGCCATCTTTCTTTCCAGAGAGGAGAGGGCGAATGGGGCAACACCCTTTCCCCTCCGGCAGACTTGATGGGCTGGATCAACACATAGTCCGTTCACTTTTCTGCTCCAAGCTGCTGGGTTCTGCATTAAGTCCTTGTGCTTCTGGGGTCGTGGCCGTGCTGGAGAGCCGCTCGTGGGGGGCGACTGGTGACCTCGGTAGGGCGTGAAGGACGGACCGGAACGCCCCCCTTCCCATGAGGTTTTAGTCGCCCCCACACCCCCGGCTCATACCTGCTGTCCACAAGGCTCCCATGTGGCCGCCATCTTTCTTTCCAGAGGGAGGAGGGCGGAAGGGAGCAACACCCTTTCCCCTCTGGGCAGAAATGATGGCCTGGATCAACGCATAGTCCTTTCACTTTTCTGCTCCAAGCTGCTGGGTTCTGCATTAAGTCCTTGTGCTGCTGGGGCTGTGGCCGTGCTGGAGAGCCGCTCGTGGGGGGCGACTGGTGACCTCGGTAGGGCGTGAAGGACGGACCGGAACGCCCCCCTTCCCATGAGGTTTTAGTCGCCCCCACACCCCCGGCTCATACCTGCTGTCCACAAGGCTCCCATGTGGCCGCCATCTTTCTTTCCAGAGGGAGGAGGGCGGAAGGGAGCAACACCCTTTCCCCTCTGGGCAGAAATGATTGCCTGGATTAACGCATAGTCCTTTCACTTTTCTGCTCCAAGCTGCTGGGTTCTGCATTAAGTCCTTGTGCTTCTGGGGCTGTGGCCGTGCTGGAGAGCCGCTCGTGGGGGGCAACTGGTGACCTCGGTAGGGCGTGAAGGACGGACCGGAACGCCCCCCTTCCCATGAGGTTTTAGTCGCCCCCACACCCCCGGCTCATACCTGCTGTCCACAAGGCTCCCATGTGGCCGCCATCTTTCTTTCCAGAGAGGAGAGGGCGAATGGGGCAACACCCTTTCCCCTCCGGCAGACTTGATGGCCTGGATCAACGCATAGTCCGTTCACTTTTCTGCTCCAAGCTGCTGGGTTCTGCATTAAGTCCTTGTGCTTCTGGGGCTGTGGCCGTGCTGGAGAGCCGCTCGTGGGGGGCAACTGGTGACCTCGGTAGGGCGTGAAGGACGGACCGGAACGCCCCCCTTCCCATGAGGTTTTAGTTGCCCCCACACTCCCGGCTCATACCTGCTGTCCACAAGGCTCCCATGCGGCCGCCATCCTTCTTTCCAGAGAAGAGAGGGCGAATGGGGCAACACCCTTTCCCCTCCGGCAGACTTGATGGCCTGGATTAACGCATAGTCCTTTCACTTTTCTGCTCCAAGCTGCTGGGTTCTGCATTAAGTCCTTGTGCTTCTGGGACTGTGGCCGTGCTGGGGAGCCGCTCATGGGGGGCAACTGTTGACCTCGGTAGGGCGTGAAGGACGGACCGGAACGCCCCCCTTCCCATGAGGTTTTAGTCGCCCCCTCGCCCCCGGCTCATACCTGCTGTCCACAAGGCTCCCATGCGGCCGCCATCCTTCTTTCCAGAGATGAGAGGGCGAATGGGGCAACACCCTTTCCCCTCTGGGCAGAAATGATGGCCTGGGTTAACGCATTGTCCGTTCACTTTTCTGCTCTAAGCTGCTGGGTTCTGCATTAAGTCCTTGTGTTTCTGGGGCTGTGGCCGTGCACCAAACTTAACTCTGATTTTCAGGGAGAAAGATTGGGTGGTTTACTTCTCATTGATCACTTTGTATATAGAGAGATGTCGCGCGGCCGCGTAAGCGGCTGCGTGGTTTTGAGAAAAAGTCCTCGTTCCCGCATACTCGAGCTGTGTTTGTAGAGGCTTCTGGTCACCGGGGTTCCATCTGGGGGAAGCGGAGTGCGGCACCTACTCCATCTGGAACTTGCCGGTGATCTCGGCTCTTTTTGGAACCTGTTTTTTTTTTTTCCCCCCCCCTCCGGTATCTTTGGTTCCCGCACCCTCCATGTGGTCCTTCTCTTAGACTGAACGCTTCAAAGATGGCGCTGGGGGGCGGGCTGTGGGCGTGACTTCCGGAATCAGAGGTTACCTGGGAGGTGTAGTCCGGCAGATTTGAGAAAAAGTCCTCGTTCCCGCATACTCGAGCTGTGTTTGTAGAGGCTTCTGGTCACCGGGGTTCCATCTGGGGGAGGCAGGATGCGGTACCTACTCCATCTGGAACTTGCCGGTGATCTCGGCTCTTTTTGGAACCTGTTTTTTTTTTTTTTTTCCTCTGGGATCTGTGGTTCCCACACCCTCCATGTGGTCCTTCTCTTCCAGTCTGAGTTTTCTTGATGCATATCCTGTAAAAGTAAAGTAAAGTAAAGGCCCTCCCGTTGATCATCGATTTGCTTGAGCGGGCCCAGTAACATCTCCATTGGAGACTTTGTTGTTACTGTGTTTGGCATATCGAATATGTCACGGGGAGCTTGCCAGGTCCTGCCGTGTGGGCGAGATACTCTCGGTAGCTTGTCAGGCTCTCCAAGAGGAGCGGAGGAATCGAACTTGGGTCGGCCATGTTGGCTGCGTGCAAGGCAAACGCCCTACCGCTGCGCTATCGCTCCAGTGGCGCAATCCGTTAGCGCACGGTACTTATAAGACAGTATGCTTGTGAGCCATGCCGAGGTTGTGAGTTCGAGCCTCACCTGGAGCATATCCTGTAATAGGAATTAAATTATCCAAAGAGAAAATAGGAATTTTTTCTTATACTTGGTTTGTAATATTTTAGGATTTCTCTTTGAGCTTTGTCATTGTACACTTTAGAGATTTTATTGGTGGATTTAGGAATTTTATTGTATTTTAAAGGATTTGTCTCAAGGTCAAACTTGAGGGGGAGGATGATTTCTTCCAGGTATATTCTTTTTATTTTTCCTGGCCATCATACTACAGTGTTCTTTTCTTTTATTTATTTTTAAAGCTTTGTTTTCCCCTTACATCTTTTATAAACACTGTGGTTTACAGAGTTGTTCATGACGTTGCAGATATTGTCACAGATATTCAGTACAGCAACACAAATCCCACCACCATTGCACCTTCCCACCACCATCATTCCCAATTTTCCCAACAACCTCTTAAGCCTGCTCCCATAGTAGACCCTCAGTAATTTATTTTATATTGCTTATTATAATTTGCTAAAATAATGATCAAAAGAAGTAGTTAGTAAAGATTGTGTATCTCACCATGGAGCTATTAAGCCCCTATATGAAAGATTACTAAGATGTTGTTACAGGTTAAGCCTTCTGTGTTGGTATTTTGTTAATGGAAATTAGATGCTGTCTTCATTACATACCATCCAATTTAGTGTGCTGTTCCTGTGTTGTAGAGTTTGAGATGTCACTCCAGGAAGTCATATAGCTAAAGTTAAATTTTTAACTGGGTGGCATTTGGGGCCATGTGTGTGACTGTCAGAACTTTTGGAAGTACAGGGAGATGGGAAGTAGCCCATTCCCAACTCTGAAAGCCAGGAGATTTCAATCACAAAACCTGCGTACCTGGGTCACTGTCACTGTCCTCCCATCGTTCGTCGATTTATTTGAGCAGGCCCAGTAACGTCTCCATTGTGAGACTTGTTACTGTGTTCGAAATATCGAATACATCACAGGTAGTTTCCCAGGCTTTGCTGTGCGGGAGAGATACTCTCAGTTGCTTGCCGGGCTCTCGGAGAGGGGCAGAGGAATCGAACTCTTCAGGTCGGCTGCATGCAAGGCAAACGCCCTACCCGCTGTGCTATCACTCCAGCCCGTGGTACCTGGGTATTTCACAGATTAATTTCTGGAGGAGGCTTGTCCTGAGTAGTGAAGTTCATCAGGGAACATGGCAGCAATTGGGGAGTTTGGAAGTTTTCGGCTGCTGGGGCTCTGTTTGGGTGAGTGCTAGGCTCACCTGCTCCCTTCCAGAGTGCCCCAGACAACTCACTCAGCCTTGCCAAGGGTGCGGAAGAAACTCTAAAACTTGTTGAACTATCTCAAGATTTATTCATGAGTCTCTGGATGATGGCCAGTGAAACAACTTACATGGCGCCAGAGTCCATGTATATTCTTTTAAGGACGGGGGATGGCACCTGCCAGTGCTAAGACTTATTCCTGGCTCTGCAATCAGTGACACTCCTGGCAGTGCTCTGAGTACCATATGGGATGCCAGGATCAAATCCAGGTTGGCTGTTTACAAACAAGCACCCTACCCACTGTACTCTGGCTCCAATACCCAGGTATATACTTAATATGATTTTTTAATTTAGTTTGCCATGAATTTTGTTCTATAAATTTGAAAGGTTTTTTTAGTGACTAGAAGCAAAGAATTTGAATATTTTACAAACTAAACAGAAACAGTGAATACTGATGTGCTTATCTAGGAGACCTGAGTGAGATTTCTTATAAGATCTGCTCTTATTAGAAAATTGTATGTTTCATTGTTGAGAAGATTTGCTTCTTTGTATTAGAAATTAACAGATTCTTCATAAATGATCAACAAATTATAAAACCTTGCTAATAATAGGTCTTGAGATTATAAATCCTTTATTATAAAATAGAGGATATATTTAGAAGATCTTATAAATAAGTGATTATTTTTTAAAATAACATGATTTATGGTTCTATATGGTTTGTTATTTTTCTAAGAGAATTGAGGTAGCAGTTTTTTGTTAAATGTTTCTTTGCAGATATAGTACTGAGTTCTAGATGTTAAGTAAGGAACATTATCAGATACTTTTTAAGTTATGTAAATACACGTTTTGTGAGTTCTTTTATGTATGCTTACAGTTGTAAGTATACATTAGTTTTTTTCCCCAGTGTACTTCGATAGTTATTTACCACTGCCAAATGTAAATTACTTTCACATGCTAGAACTAGAACTCAAACCCACATGTATCTCTTCCATTTTTTTTTAATCTCTGCAGTTAAAATATACTTGATTTCATTTCAGGTATCACTATGGCAATAAATTTGTTATATTTGAGAGTTGTGATTACACATCTCTCAAGTGTTTGAATAAGTTCTGATTGTTTTTTACAACATTTGGAGCTTATAATAAAGTAATGTTACAGTTTTTTGTTATGCATACCTATTAGATTAACTTATTTTTCTTTCCTGGTCAGAAAGAATTTTTTGCTATGGTGCAAAGTAATTAAGGAATAGTATAGTATCATTTATTATAAGTAAGGTTTCAGCATTCTTAGAAGCCCTTAATTATACTTATTAAATATGGGGCAAAATCGATTAGAATTTAAATATTTCCTCTTTAATCATTAATACTATTTAGAAAGAATGGAGGATAGTAAGTGACTATTTTGTTAATCTTCTCCATTAAATATTATCCAAGGGATATAGCAGCTCATAAATCTTCAGACAATTCAATGTTGAATCAGAGATATTGGGAATATAATATTTACGTAACTTTTTCCAACTTTAAAAGACCAACTTTCAGATAAAATGTCAACATACTTGTCAATGTTTTTTTAGGCAGAAGATGCTTAATAGTTATTTTCGGGCACAACAAATTTCAAAACTTACTGGAATGAGAATCTAACCTTTTAGTGGTTTTTAAAAAACTCTTTTCTAAAGTAACATTAGTTTATAACACAGGTTTCAGGTATACAGTGTTATAAATCAACATTTATGCAAACTACTTAATGTTTGACCTGAAGTGGGTTTTGTTTTATAGAAAATTTATTTGTGGGACTGGAGCAATAATACAGTGAAGTATGGTGCTTACCTTGCACATGGCAACCTGTGTTTAATTCCCGGCAACCAGTAGTCCCCTGAGTAAGCCTTGAGAAATGTTGATGTGACCAAACAAACAAAAGAAGAATTTATTTGTAAATTTGTCAGTGCCATTAGTTTATTTTTTCTCTATATCATTGTGATTCTACCCCACATATAACCTTTTAGGATAATTAGGGTTCTATTTAGAAGAGTACTATTCTTCCCAAATTTTATATAAAAAAAAAGGTAGGAGGGATAAATGCAATCAAGCAAAATAATAGATCTGTGTGTGTTTGTGTGTGCATATTTGTAATGGCAACTTTTTCCTTTTTCCTGGGGTCTGACACATTGAAAGTATGATCAGCAATAATGAATGCTGGCAACTGTGCTTCCACAGGATGGCAGTGTGGTAACATTTTCATGGTGTAATAAATGATTTACGACATTATTGGTTTTGTACATTTTCTTAGTACTCCTTTTATGGAAGGTTTAATCTTCTAGTTGAAAGAGTAAGAACATGAATGGATAGAAAGTTTTAATAGATTTGATTAAATGGTAGTTTGGTCAAGATTCCCAGAGCATTTGTAGGAACAGCTGGAGGGGGTGTTACTGTTGGTTTGTTTTATTGAAGTCGTCTAGAAGCAGGATGGAACAGATTTTATTATCTGCCTCTTAAGTGTTCTTGTCAAGAAAGGGAGTTATCTCCCTGTGTGCTTTACTGAAGTTCTGTATGGGTAGCTTTGATTTTTTTTTTGTCTTAAAATATTTTTATTGATAGTTGTTTTAGGTATACAATATTCCAACACCAATCTCACTACCAGTGGGATTTATTCCTTTCACCGGTGCATCTTTGATTTTTCTCAAATAATTTACTCCTAATAGGATTGATCTTATAGAATTTTGTACTTTCAGAATGTCATGACCATAATAAAATGAATATTTGAACCAATTAGAGGCAATTTTTATATGCACTATTAGATGCCATAATACAGTGCCTAGAGAAAAGCGTGTGTTTTCATTTTTGCAGTGTAGAGTGTGTTTTTCTTTCTTTCTTTGGGTTACCACCTAGAGATACTGAGGGTTATTCTGGACTCTTTGCTTATGTATTGCTCCCAATAGTGCTCAGGGAACAATGAAGTGGCAGGTAGTCTAGCCGCCTGCATATAGAGAATATGCTCAGCCCTCTGAGCCCTCTGAGCTATCTCTATGTGGCCCAATTCTGTATCTTTAAGAATTGAGAGTTACTTCTTCCTATTCACGTGTCTTACTGTGTTCACTCTGTGTTTGAAAACAAGGGCTTGAATTTGAAGGGGCTTGGATCATAATCCCAAATTATATAATCCCCCCCCCCCCATCTATTAAAAACATCTTAAAGCACAGTGATTTACAAAGTTTTTCTAATATAATTGTTTTGGGCTCACAATGTTCTAACACCAATCCCACCATTAGTGTGACCTTCCCTCCAATATTGTTCCCAGTTTCCCACCCACCCCCCAAGCCTGCTCCCTTGACAGGCACAAAATAGTTTATTTTCTATTGCTTGTTGCAACAAAATAGTAAGTGAAGTTATTTTTAGAAAGTTCAAATAAAGGAAAATTGTTATATTTCACAGTGGTATCATGAAAATCATTGAGGATTTACTGAGCTGTTTGTTGCTATTTGAGCCTGCTATGTTGCTGTTTTTGCTTATTTAGCTTACTCGGCTTCTGGGCCACGTTCCCACATAATATGCTGTGTTCCTACTGTGCTGTCAATACTGTGGAATTTGAAGTGTCTGTGTCCACATACCCCAGGAGCTCTAGGGTCTATGTACCTGGGACTTTCATCAGCTTGGCATCCCTTCAGAGATTAGTTGTGAAGCAATGAAGTTGGTCATTTGTTTGGCAGCGGCTGCCAGGGCTTTGGCAGGGTGGGGTCTTGGCCTGACCCCTTTGAATGGAGCTCCAGAGTTTGC